GACCTCAGTGTGTCTTGTGCTGTTCTGACAGGGCTGTGGACAGGGTTTGCTCCCCATATAGTGATGGCTGGGTAGTAGACCTGGTTACTAAAACTGATCAAGATGTTTTCCCAAAACGTTTTATTGCGAGCTGTCTTCCTTTAGTTATGGATTTGAGGATTGTTTGATCAGAAAATATTTTTGCAGGATTGAGATAGGATGGGAGATGTCTCCTATCTTGATTCCCAACTCACTCTGGATTAGGTATGTTTGTTAAAGTCTGTGCCTTGCCGAATTAATGCTTGACTTGGGTCTCCCATACCCTTGGTTTCTCCCCTGCCCATGCTCCCTGAACACTGACTTGCTTGGGTGACACTGGAGCCTCCCCCATGGCACAGATGGATACCCCAGCCTCCATACCTTCCCTTACCATGTCTAGCTCCTGTAATTCTGCTGGGAGATTGTCAGAAGCTTGTGCCTTTCATCCCTGGAGTGGGAAGGCTTTTATTTATTTGGTTAATCCAAAAGTTAAGTGGGTGGGAAGATAAGTCGGCAGCGCCATTCCCTTCATCACATGGTACCAACTCTTGTTTCCCCTAGAGAGAGGCAGAGCAGATGGAAGGCAGAGATGAAATGAAGATCAAAAGTAAACAGTGTGATTAGGTTTTTGATAAAGGATAAAACACTTATCACATCAAAGGCTCTGAAAACCACATTAAATGTTTCCTGAACATTTTGTGTCCACGTAAGCATTAACTGTGCTTGCCATGGGGACACTTGTAACAGCAAGTGGTGGAGCTGGGGGATGCAGGTGGGTATTTGCCCTCGTGGCTGTGCTGCAGGTCCCCTGGCTGGCCCAGGAAGGCAGAGCTGGCATCCTGCAGCTGTCCTCTGGCACCTTGAACCTCTCTTGCTGCAGATCAGCAGGCCCACACGCATGCTTAGAACTCCTTTAAGCCTCCTCAGTCTTCCAGGTCTGGGCACTGGTTTTCCACAGATTTCAAGGCACTTGCAGATGTAGATAGGTGTGGAGTTTCTGGGTAACTTTTCTCTCAAGCATTGGTGATCCTTCGGTTCCATGCTTTAGCTCAGTGAATCCAGTCCTGAAATATTTTGTGTAAGCTGCATTATTGGTAGTGAGAAGTGCCTATGTCTTTTTTTATCACTGTGTTGAAATACTGGGCAATGCTGGCCAGTGAAGGAAGATATAAAGGTGTATCTTGCCATTATTTTTTAAATGGTCTGCTGATTGCTCTGGCCACTGCTGGTGGACATAGAATTTTGGTGAAACTAACACAATATGTTACCAACCCAGCCCAGCAGCATTTGGTGTTCCCTTTTCCAGGTAGTGCTGAGTCCAGTTTGCCTTTCTTTCAAATTTATCACCTTGTTTTTCTGTAGGCAAGGAAGGAGGCACATGCCCTGCTTTCTGCCACATGGGAGGTTCTGTGTAACAGAGACCAGGCCCAGAAACAGTCTACCTTTGAATTTTCTTTTTAATTTTTTTAGCCAGTGCAGAAACGTGTTCCTATCTCCTGGTCTCAGCCCTTCAGAGCACAGAGGTAGTTTAAATGCTGTGTGTGTGCAGCCACATGTATCATCAGTCATTTTGCATGTTGGGGGTGGAAGTTTGCCCTTCACTAACATCTCACCATCTCACTTCCTCCAGAGCAACATTTATCAACTGAAATTGGCATCAGATTTGCTTCTGAAATGAGAGAAACAGCAAAACATTGTGTGTTGAATTGGATGAAAGTTCACGAAGCACCTGCTGAATGTTCACATGCTTAAATCTCATTACTTCAGGTTAAGTCCAAGAGGTTTTCAAGTGAGGTTTTGAGTCATTTTTACCACATTTGACCTCTTGCACTGATTAATCCAAGATCCCACTTGAAGCAGGGCTTGAAGTTTGCTCAGAGTCTTGTCTAGTTGAGTTTTGAAAACCTCCCAGGATGGAAATTGAACATCCTTTCCAGGTCCCTCTGCCACAGTGCTGAGGGGATGATTTTCTCTTCAGCAGGAATTTCTCTGCTGCAGGCTGGGAGTGCTGCCTCTCATCCTGCCACTGCTCTTCAGGGAAGGGTCTGCCTCTGTCTTCATCCAAAGAGTTCAATAAGACAAATCTCCTTGGTTGTTTGCTTGTTTGTTTTCCTCTCAGTGCTTCCCTTGTTTCTGTATTCTGTGAGTGATTGACAGCACAGCATTGTCTGTGTGTTTGGGCTCTTTCAAAGAAAGATCTTGTTTCTATCTAGTACTCTTGAAAAGAGAACTCTGGAAATGTATGAACAGAAGAAGGAATTAGGCAGTGTGAGCAGAGAAGTCCCTGTCCTGAATTCACGTCTGCCAAATGCTAATGTTAGTTATTTTTGGGCTTAGAAGTGCAAGAGGCTTTTATCCTTTGTACAGCTGGCCTCATCCTGCTGTGAATGTAACATAAAAGGGAGCAAAAGGCATCTGTTGAAACCTGCATGTCTTCTTTGGTGGCAATCATGCACCAGCTCATATATGACACATGCCTTTCCTGAAAACTTGAGGTTAGATCAGGAACTTAATAATAGAAAAGTCAAATTTAATTTCTTGACAATACCAGAGACAGATGTCTCAGTGACAGTTGTACAGCTGTTTTATTTCCTTTTTAAAAATGTACTTTTTCTTAAAAAGCATTACCATGTATTTCAACAAGATTTCTCATTTAATAAGATGCAAAAGTTTAGGCAATATCCTGTTTAGATGGTTTCTATCTGATAATAAAAATGGCATTGACAGTGAGAGATTGCACCGAATAAATCATTAGTTGTGAGTTCTGCTTTATGCTGCAGCCAGGATGTGTCCTGTAAGTTCACAGCTGTTCTAACTTTTTCTTTTCCTCATCTAGACAGCTGTATGTCCATGAGATTTATTTCTTGATCTGTGTGGACATGAAATCCTTCTTGGGATTATTGCCATAGAAACAAGGCATAACATAGAGCGTGTTAGAAGTAACAAATGGGATTTGGCAGTCCTTCCCATTTACTACACAGAGTCTGAGCTATGTGCTACAAAAAGCAGCAATTACTTGCTCTCAGAGCTTTATTAACAGGCACATCTGCACATCCATTAGAACTAGATGCTTCAACTTCCATTCTGGCTGGGATGACATTTACATATTCTGGTCCTTAAATGAAAATCCAACATCTAGTTTATTTTCCAGTCAAGGTAGGAATTGGTCAGGTTTGACATTTTGGTTCCTTTTTGTAGGTTGCAAATCCCAGAGGCAGCCCATGTGAGCCTCCCAGAAGGAGATAAGGGATAGAACTGCTGGCTCCAGGGAACGCTCCCTCCTTTGAAGGATGAAGTCACCCAAGTTTTGCTTGTAAAGCCTGATCTCCCACGGAGCTGGGACTCAGCTCCCAGCCTCTCCCAGGGTTTCACACCCTGCCTTGCTCACAGGAATGATTCCCTTCTCCTCAGTGGCCCAGGGTGGCTCTGAGCTGGGGGAGTAGCTGGGCTGTACCAGGCAGGGAAGGGTTTTTTGCAGGAGTGAGCCCAACAAGCTGTACCTGGAGCTGAGGCTGAGCTGACTCGGTCACAGCACAGCTGCTGGTATAACGTGGCAGAGACAGGCAAACTCCAAATTCTAAGCAAAATCCGTGGGTCAGCTCTTGAAATGGTATGGGATGGTAAAGAGGCAAAAAAGCAGAGGAACAGAATACAGAAAAGGGCAGAGGGATGTATTAAAACCCAAGGTGTGTCTGCTGGCTGTGTGTGCCCAGCAGCTCTGTGGCCCTGGGCATTCTGCCATGGGAGGTCAGTGCTGGCTCAGTGGGGCACAGGGTGCAGATCTTGCTTGGCTCTGGTGCTCTTCTCTTATCTTTTTCCTATCCTCACTTTTATGAAGTAAAACCAAACATGAAAACAAATAGTTCACAGAGGGGTCCCTTGCTCTGGATGATGCATTTGCAGACCTGGAAGGGAGCATGCATTGTTTTTTTCCCATCCATATCCTATAATGCTGCCTCTAGCTGAGAGGAGCAGCTTCCAGGGGGGATTTCAGAGGCAGCTGGAGATGCTTTAAAGCTCTCAGGGCAAAATCTCTCATCCCTCTGCAGCAATTCAAAAACAAAACAACCTTGCTAACAGGAAGAACATTCAAAGCTGATTGTAAACCACAAAATCAAGATGAAACCTAGAAGGCAACCTGAAAAACCCAGATAATTGAAATGCAGGGATTTGAATCTGGGCTATGTGCTCAGAGTCTGCCTGGCCTTCTTTTCAGAAGTGCTGAGGACTGAGCAGAGCATGTGAAGGCGATGAGTGCTCAGGATTTCTTTGAAACATTTATTTAGTACCTAAGTATAGATCTAGGACTGACTAACTTCAGGCTCCAAATATAGTTCAGGTGTCTGCCTTCTCACTCTTCCTCATTTCTCTTTTCCTTGCTATTTAATCTCTTCATCAGCTCCCACATTCTGTTTCCTCCAACTCCCTTAACTTTTCCATCCTCCCCCAGCTGACTTCTGCTCCTATCTCCTCACTCACTCTGGCACCTCTGTTGTCCCATGGGAGCCACAGGGCATTCTCCAAGGTCCATCCCAAGCAAGCTCTAGGTGACACCGCTTTTCTCTCCCTCACACCCTAAATTCTCCCTGCCTCATTCTCAGGAGGGCGGAGGTTCAAACACACTGCTTCATCCTGTTCAGGAACCTGCTGAGGTTTAAGTCCCAAATATCTCTCCTCTCCTGTGTGGGCCTGACCAGAGATGGCAGTGAAAAGGGAATCATCACAGACACCCTTGACTGGGGGGGAGCCCAAAGTGGCTGCCATCACTTTGTGCCCCAAAAGCATAAATCAAAATGTTCCGTTTTCTGTGCTCTGCCCATTGCAGGTGTGATCTGCCAGTACCAGCAATGAAAGAGGTTATCAAGAAGGGATCATGTTAATTTTGTGACAGGAAGCTCTCATTAGTGGCTGTGCTGTTCCAATCAGCCAGAAGACAGATGTGGCTGTGGATCTGATGGATCTTGTGCCTGTCTCTGTTGCAGGAAGGCATGCCCCAAACGCTGACTTCTACCAGTATGTTTACCCCATGTGGCTTCAGCCCTCATCTACATACTTCAAAAGAAGGTGAACAAGGAGGACTGATCTTCCAGGATGGAAACCTTACCTCAGCATCTCTGGATGCTCTAATCCAGCATCTGATACCTACCACTGATTACTACCCTGAAGTAAGCAATTCACAGTATAATAAATGGTTTAATTTTGATGAATTGGGGCAGCACTTTATGCAAAAGTGCAAATGTGTTAAATTTTGAATTAAGAGGGCTCATTTAAAAGCTGCATACAATTAAAGCTTGGTAAATTGATGCATTGCTTTAAATGCTGTTTCACTGCTCTATAATTGTTCCCATGAAAAAGCAGATCCCAAAGATGATGCTGCCTTTAAATAAGGGTAGCGGGGGGAGCTGTCGTGGTGATGAATTAGTGATGTAGCAGTTGGAGCTTTTCAAAAATAGCAATGCTTCCCAGAGAGGTTTAGTGGAAAACTGAAGCAAAAAGCTCCCAAGTCTGAACTGGACTAAATTAGCTGAATTTCAGTGGCTGCTGAAGTCATCCAGGTTTGCCTGTATGTACAGAGCATTCCCTTGGTGATGACAGAGATGCTTCTTCTGGTGGATTTATAATTTACCTGGCACTGTATTCACAATTTTGCAGTCACTGAACAGCACAGTCCAGATCCTAATCCTTGCTCCATCAGTGGAAATAAAGTGTTTTCTCACCAAGAGTGTGAGGATCTAAACTGGAAGAAAGTTTATGGTCCTGCAAGCTATTGACTTCCCTGGATTTTGCACATTCTCAGTGGAATTCAGGCAGAGTTTGACTGGAAGACTTTTAAGTGCTAATATAGCTCCATGGCTTGTATTTCAAAGCACAGAGGAGCATTGACTTCTGGGTACTTGAGGAGACTGAGGAAGTTATCAATGCAGAGCAGGCAGCATGTTTTAAATTACCCAGAGCTCAGTTTCTGATCAGCTAAAAATAAGTAATAAAGAAGCATCTCAATTAAAAAAAAAAAAAAAAAAAAGGAACAGAAAGGCAATAAAAATAGGTAATGGGCAGATCAGGCTGTGAGATTTTCATTATAATGTATGATATGTAATATTATACCTGCTGCTTGGGAGCATGGCTAGGGCTGGGGGAAAGGAGGTAATTCAGGTGCAAGGATGCAAGGAGGGGTCAGGATGCAACAACTGCGACTTCATGCATGTATTTTAAATTCACTGCTGGAATAATTTGAATAATCCAAGGATTTATCCAGCAGACCTGCTTCCCACAGCTTCACAGATGTGGAACTGTATATGGTATGACCTGGCTGATAGAAATGAAATTTGGGGAGTTAATAGAAAAAATGAAATATTGCTTAAAATAGGCTGGGTGATATCTGCAGGGCAATAGCAAGATGTGGCTGATGTGGGGGTGTCTGCAGCTCCCAGCCCAGTACAACACAGAGATTCCTGCCCATTTAGCTTTACAGTCTCCAGCATCCTGGCTGTGCTGTCTCCTGTACCTGGGCTTGCTCCTGCACACTCTCTTCGCTGGATGTTGCCCAGGGCTTAGGCAACCAAGGGCTGGACATGGATGCTGTGGAGAAAGGAGATGCTGCTACCTCCTGTGCCCAGTGTAACAAGTTCCATATTCAGGGTCAGGAATTGTTGTCTTTTATATAAAAAAGTCTTGCCAAGTAGAAATGAAAACCTGTGAAGTTCAGGGCTTTACAGTCAATATCACCCACTGTGTGGCTGCTTACAGTAAGTCTACTTGTCTTTCTCCTGCAGAAAGCCTATATCTTTACATTCCTGCTGAGTTCCAGACTCTTCATCGAACCCCATGAGCTTTTGTCCCGAGTTTGTCACAAGTGCATTGAGCAGCAGCGGCTGGATGACCCCGTGCTGGACAAGGTTAGTTTATGTTTACAGCAGACATGTGAGGTATTGTCAATGGGTAGAGGATTCTGGGGCTCTGGTTTGTGTGCCTTGCCTCTCTTTAGATTGAATGAATCTTTCTCATAAAGGATTTGCCACTGAGATCCTGCCATTGAGGCATCCTGGTATCCATGTCTGAGAGCAATGCTTCAGGCAATAGTCACTTCAAATCTTCTAATTTTCCCTTTCCCCCTGTCTCAGTCTTCCCAGGTGACTTTCCTTCTTTAAGGCTCTGGGGAAGCCTGCAGGATGCAAGGAGGTAGGACATGACCCTCACACACTGTTGAGTGCAGATGTCCACACACCACTCTCTCTCCCATTTTTACTTAATGTCTCTGCCCCTTTGCTTTCTTGCTCCTGGTACAGTAATATTTCCTCTTGGCCTTTCCTGCCACTTTGAGCACCATGTAACAGGGGGCAGGTGCCCACCACCCTCCTGCCCTCTGCCCTCAGAGCAGCACCCAAGGAGCACCAGGAATGGGCAGGAGCAGCAGTGGGGCCCTGCCAGGTGGACAGAATGAGAAAATCCAAGCTGTTCCTGCCTCAGCACTGTTCCCACTTTGCCCCAGGGACTGTGCAGCCTAGTACAGTGTGTAGCAACACATGTGCATCCTCTGGCAGTGCCACAGACAGTGCAGGGGTGATGGATGCTGCTCAGTGTTGGGCTCTGCCCAAGCTCTCTCTGCTGCATTGATGAACACTTCTTTGGTATGTTATCTGGAGCAGGAGATGCACCTTCAAAGCAGTGGAGGGGAACAGAACATGGATTTGTTGGAAATTTCCAGAAACTCCAAAATTCTGAAATTGTTTTCAAGATCATGCTTTCCAGCTTTGAAACTGTGAGTTTGGTGTCAAATGCTATCACCAACATCTGACTATGTATGTGCTTGTTTTTGCACAGGCAGCTGGTTCCATGAGTAGCAGGAGCTCTGCCTTCACTGTGAAGAGCCATTCTCCAGAATGCTCAGCAGTCCCAACCTGGGTTACCCATACAGTCAGTGTTAATAAAATATCTGTATGGGATAAACCATGCAAAACAAGTTTTCTAAGGTGTGAGGTTCTGTTCTCCAATTCTGTGACAGATACAAGTTTAGGAGGATTAAATGTGAGCATTGCAAAGTTTTTCTGCTCGTTAAACTTTTAAGAAATGAAAAACAGTGTCTTACTATGAAGACTTCTTATCTGCCTGAAGTTCACCTGGGTGTTGTAGCAATACAGGCCTGGTGGGACACAGCTGATTTTGTGTTCCCCAGAGTGCAGCTGATTTTGAAACTTTGTGCAACCTGCCATCCAATGTCCTGTGACTTGCACAAAGTCCTCTCCATCAATTCATAATGCAGTTTACACAGCTGGAGCAAATGTCTCCCCAGACCTTTGTAGTTTCCAATAAAGCTTTCCCTTTAGCAGCCACCTGCTGGTCTTTGAGCCTGAGCTTAATGCTAGCTGACAGCAGTTATTTTTAGAGATGTGGTTCATTGAAACCTGTTGTTGGTGGAAAGCTGAAATATGCATTTTGACCACCTTGGTTGAAAAACAAAGAGCCAGGGAGCTTAAGAGTATAATTTTTCCTGATTACAGGGTACACTTCAGCTGCAGTACGTGGGGATGCAGAAGAAGGCTGTTTGTTTCTGTCTGTGTCTTCTGTAAATAAAAATGCAGTTTGTTTTTTAACACCATTTCCTTTTCACATAACAGAGGATGAAAGCTTTGGGAGCAGCCACACTGGCTGTCTTTTGAGATAACACTAATGCACCAGTTGTGCCATTCCCTGCATTTCCCTCCTTGCCCCATCCTGGCTATTTCCACTGCCACATCCTCAGATAAATCTCCACCAGAAGTGGGCATCAGCTGGATGCTGTGTGAGTGTCTTTGTCCCATCATGACCTTGAGCTCATGTGGGAAGAAAGCAACATTACCAGCAGCCCAGGTGAAGTTACAGAAGTGCTGCTGTTTTGTTAATCTTTTTCTTCATTGTGCATCTGGCACTGGCCACTAAGCAGTTTTTTTCATACAGCCAGAAAGCAAAGGAGCAAAAAACCTCTTTGATGGTCAAGAAATTAATTGCAGATTTTCAGAGAAGGATGAAAATATAGAAGAGTTGTAAGTACAAAAGGGAAGAACAAATGGTTCGAATCAGCAAAAAGGCCAGATGTTTTAAAAAAAGGTATAAAGGTTGCACCAACAAAATGTCCATCCAACCATAAACAGGCCAATTGCATGTGCAGAATACTTAAATCTGCATGTAAAACAGGCAGTTGTGCATGCACCTGAGTTCTGGTACATTTTGCATGCCAAAATGTATTATTTGTGCACCACACTCTTTGTATGCATGTGTGCAGGTTTTGCAGGTGCAACACAAATGCCTTCTTTGAAAACCTGGCCCCATGTTCAGTGACACACACAGTGAAAGACTTTAATGAGTAAACATGTTTCAGTCCCTGAGCATCATTCCATGGTTTGCATTTCAGGCTCGAATCAGAAAATTTGGACCCAAAATCCTACAATTGCTGACAGAGTGGACAGAGACATTCCCCTATGACTTTCAGGAAGAGCGGATGATTGGCCATCTCAAAGACATGATTCACAGGATAGCTCCATGTGACGAGGTGAGGATGCCTGACTTGGGATGTTCTGCTGATACGTGAAGTTCATTTTCCCACTTGGTTCCTCCTTTTCCTCTTTTTTCTGCATTCCGCTCCATGCCTCTTCCTGGATACTCTCAGAGTTCTTTTCTCTAATAATGTAAAAACCTCTAGTATCTTCCCTGAAAGCCACAGCTCTCTTTAGGTGCTCCTGGAGCAGTGAGCATTTGAGTTTATGTCCTGCACATCGAATTGTAGGATAACAACATTCCCATTTTATAGAAGGAATAGCATAGAGTCAGTGTGCTGGTGACAATTCAAATTGCAGCAGAGCTGTGATCTCCCAAGTTACAATCATAGAATCACAGACTGCTTTGGGTTGGGACTTTAAATTCCATCTTGTTCCACATCCCTGCCATGGGCAGGGACACCTTCCTCTAGACCAGGCTGCTTCAAGCCCTGTTCAACCTGGCCTTGAACACTTTCAAGAGTGGGGTATCCACAGCTTCTCTGGATCCAAGTTCTTATATTTAGAGAAAATACTAATATTAGTGGACATGTAGCTTGTCTGGGAGCAGAGAGGTGGCAGAAGACAGTGTGTGGCCTGCTGAGCACAGAATCAGGCTAGAGGTCTGTATGGTCCTGGTGCTCAAATATGTGAGCTCTGTGTGTGGCACAGTGGCTCACAGTGAATGGAGCTCTGGGAGACCTGCTTGCAAATTCAGGTGGGTGAACCCCATAAATTAATTCGGAAACATTAAAAAGGCCACAAAATTCATGAAAGTAATAAGCAAATAGTACACTGAGAGTCTCTAATTACTTCTAGGTTAACCATGGGATATGGAAAAATTCAGTTCCACTGGCTACATGAAGGCCTGGCCTCGAGCCACAGAGGGGTGCAGTCCAGTAGAACAACAAGAACATACCCATGAGGATGAGAGAGAGGAGTGGAGAGAGGACAGAAGGAATTAGCAGGGCTGCAGCACAACAGAAATGAAATTGGGCTCTCCTATGTGCATGAAATATGTCCTAAATGGAAACAGCTGCTCTTGGCCTGGGCTGGCAGCATGTCTGGCACTTCCAGGGAGCTGTAGGCTGGCATGGATTGACTGGGCTGGGCAGCCCGTGGGAGAGAAGGGGTTGGACAGGGCAGCTGTGAGACATGGTGGAGGTGAAGGCAACAAAAAAACTCAGAAAGAGCTGAAGTGGCTTTAGTTCCATTTACCAGAGTAGTAGAATTCCCTCAAGGAAAAGAGGCAATGGACTTGCTCCTGGCCAGCCACAGCAAAAGATGCCTTGCAGCCCTTCAGCATCAGAAATGAGGGAAATCCATGCAGACCCACTAGAATTGTGTCCGCTGGAGAGAAGGAACCAAAGGGTGGAGAACAGGGACTTGGCATGTGCTCTTTAGCAGCAGCAGCTGCCCTGGTGAAGAATCATAAATTAATCATAAATCAACTTTCTGCATGCAAAGCAGTGGTTTATGTGCCTAACCTGAGCAAGCACTGCACACCTTTGCTCTGGAGCGTGCACAGCTGTGTACAAATCCTTGTGGGTGCCCTGGGGGGCCTCAGACTACATTAGTTTCAAATCACTGTTTTTCAGATATTACTAGATGCTGTAATTGCAAGTGATTATGCCTCAGCAAAATCAATAATTAATTTAAGAAACAGCTCATATCCTCCGAATGCAAATTTCCTTTTTTTTAAGGGACAGCACTGAAGAGTGATGGTGACCATTAGTTTTTTTGGAAGAAACTTGTTCCCATTGTGAGCCACAGAAGTTAAAGACTGAAAGATTTGTGATGTCATCCAGTCCATGTAGGTCAGTGCAGGATTTTCCCCTGCAGTGTCTGCTCCTCTTCTTTGTAGAGTCCACTTTCTAAAGGCTGTGATGTGCTTATAAAGGTGTCCATGCTGAGAAGCATTTCTTAGTAAGTGCTGTGATTTGCATTTAGAGTTAGAAATTTTAATTAAAATTGAGCTCCTAAGCCACCTGCTGAGGCCTGCTGTCTTCAGAGGAACTTTCCTAGTTAAGAACGAAACATTTTCTTTAAATATTAAACAGTAGTGTGCTTCTTTTGACTGTTAATGTGGCAGTGAAGTGAAATTGGTTGATAAGTCCAGCATGCAGCCCCTATACAGTGGGGGGTCACTTTGTGGCAAGATAATTACCAGCACGCTGAAGGTAATGAACAATGTTGTTTTCAGTTAGTAGATGTAGTATAAAGAAGGCAGGAAAGGCTTTTAGAAGGGCAAAAGCAGGATTTTTTTATTTTTGTTAATTTCTTTCTCAATGTGCACAGAAAGGCTTTCTAAGCAAGGGTGCACCCAACTGATTTCCATTGAGTCTCTTCAAGAGCTGATTTCTGTGTAATTGTTTGTGTCCTTTAACTGTCTCTTTTTTCATTCTTTATTAGGTAGTTGGCTTACCTGAGTTTTTGTTTACTGTTGTCCATATCTATTTTTTGTGCCATATTCCCCACAAAATTAAGTGAAACTAGATCTCTTGATAAAGATTTCTTGAAAGACTGGCTAATATGCATGTCTTTCAAGCAATTTTATGCAGCTTTTTGACTTTTTGTCCAAACTATGAAGAATTTGATGCTGCATAGATATGGCTGGTCCAAGATTTTTCATCCAAACTCCTTCTAGATAGAAGAGCTGGGTTTCCAGCCAAGTTCTTTTAGCCAGATGTTTTTTATTCATGAGAAGGCTTGGCTTTCAGTGCTGTCCCCTCACCCCCAAAAAACTGAGTTTCCCATTTACAAAATAAGTTCACAAAATGCCAAATAACTCCCTATTTTTCACAGAAAAATCACACTGTGTTCACAGAGCTTCATAAGCTGTGTTGGGATTTGCAAACACATCTGGATGTAAAACAGAGAAATATTTAGATGGTGGTCAGTAGTTTGGGTCCAGAACAGTCTTTATTAATCAAAAGTGTGACCATCTGTTGACATGAGGATTTACATGAAGAAGGCCTTTCTTGGAGCTAATATACATCAGTAACAAATAAAAACTGAAGGTTTGGGGTTTTCCTCAGTCAATTTTCACTCCATCTTTGGGATTTGATTCCAAATACATTGTGTGCTGTCATTCTCCAAGACATGTCCCTCCTGCCTTCTCTTGGTTCTTGCTTCATTTCAGACTTAACCGCTCTGTTTTACAAAAAAGAGCCTGACTTATCCTGCTTATCTGGTACATGTTCTAGCCCAGCTCAAGAGAGCATCTTCCTTAAGTGAAAGGAGAGCAATGGGAGTCCAAGAGAGCAATGTAAAACTTTTGTTAGAAAGCTGCATCAAAGTTTCAGAGTTATGGCAAAAGTTGAAGCACTTGGGATGTTCTAAAGGTCTCCAGCCTTTCATACCCTGTAATTAAGGCAGAGTAGATGTGAGAAGTTATTCTTCACTGTGAAGTAGGAGGAGGTGCTATCTCCAGTGTGCAGATTCTGTGCAGCTGAGAAGATCACTGACTCTGGTTTCTGGTTCTGTGAACACTTAAAACATGAGTGCTGTCAATGCCTAGCACTGAACACTATCCACAGCCTACAAAACTCTGAAGACAAGGCTGGATCTAAACCATGGGATTACTTCCCAAAGGCTCACTTGAGCTGCATCTAGCTTGGGACATGACACAGGTGTGTTGTTCTTTGTAGTGAGCCACCGTCTAGCCAAGGACATTTCCAATTAATCTTATCCTTAGAACCCATCCACCAGTTCTGTTATCTCAGTTTTGTGACGTCTGCATCTGTCAGCCCATCCTCCATGGCCAGAGACTCCACTCATTGTCTGTAAAGAGTTGCTCCAGCTCTGAGAACAACCTGGGCAAGTTGGTAATGATGATCCTGCTGAGCACATGGCTGTGCTTGGAATACAATATGAGCTTCCTTCACTAGCAGTTAACATTTGGATATTAAATACTCAAAGCTACACAACACTCCAGCCACTCCAGCTGCGTAGCAAGCAGCTGTGAGCTTCTTCTGCATTCAGGTCAAAAGGACGGAGAAATAACATTAGAAACATTTCTTATTCCTAATAAATAAGAGTTGACAAAGCAGCATTGACAGGTAGAGTTCTCAGCCAAAATATAGCTGACATAAAAGATAGGTGCCAAAAGCTGCTGTGCTCCAGAAAGCTGCAGTAACTCATGTGGTAGCATTGCCTCTCCTTTGAACCTGATGCTGGCAGGAATGTGGAGTATCAGTGCCAGCCCAACCCACCAGTCCTGCCTGCCTCTTCTCTTGACTGCAGTCTCTGTGTCCAGAGCACAGAATTGTAATTCAGCCAACTGGTTATTCTGAAATAGGCTTGTTGGAGATAAAATGGTAACCTGTTGCTGGCTTAGGAGTATTCTGCAGAAAGCAAAATTCAGCACAATAAACCACTCCTATGTCACGTTTTCTGGGTGGCTTATGTTTCTCTCCCTATCTCTCCAGGCTTACTGGAAAAAGATGAATCAGCTTTTGCAAGCCCTGAATCAGAAGCTTGCAACCCTCAGCCATGGGCAAGAAGGGATTGTCAAGATCAGTACTGCTGTCTCTGATAAGCTGGTTGCCTTTAAAACTAAACCTCCATCAATTCAGAGAGAAATCCTGAGCGTCTGCAGTGACCCTTACACCCTGGCTCAGCAGCTGACACATGTGGAGCTGGTAAGTGGGAATGGTTCCCAACTTCTGCAGCCAGAGATGTTATTTTAAGCCATCAGCTGCTAAGTATTCCAGACATAACCAAAAAATGTCTGCACTGCTGCAGCCTATCCCATGCTGTATCAGCACTGCAGCAGGGTTTGGCAGGTTAAGAGATGCTTGGGAAGCAAACTATATATCAGAGTGTCCCTATGCAGCTTGGAGCAGGTCACTGTACTTCAGCTTGCTTATCTGTGAAATGAAAATCCTATCCCAGCAAAGTCAGGTCCCAGGAATGTCACTTCTATAAGGTGCTCAGAGCCCCACAAACTCTGCAGGAGCTATTGAAATGGCTGGTCATTAACCCTTTTATAAATTTGAAAGAAATTTTAGCAGTTCAAATCCATTTCTCCAGATGCGTGAAGCAGTGGGTTGTCTGATGTGCCTTTCATCCTTCCCTTTGGGATTTTGTGCATGGGCATAAGGGTGTGCAGATACCACCCCCGCAAATTCTTGCTGTTCCCTCTCTGCTGGGCTGCAGTCTGCTCCCAAACAGGCTCTTGTGTGAGAAATTGCAGTGCTGAAGCCTTGGATGTGCTGTTGTGCTGCACACCCTTCTCCCAGGGTCAGGTACCCCCCACAGACCTCCTGGATGTGCACAGAGAACATAAAACATTGCTGCCATCTGCAGATCTCTTGTTGCTCTGGTGCCCTGCTGCCTGTCCTCCTGTGGACTGCTCATCCTTCAGGGGAAGGATGGAAAAACAGAACATGAAATGCACTGTGGGTTGGAATGAGTATTAGGAAATCAGCCTTTGGATTTCTGAAAATAGTTCATATTCCATTTGTCAGGAAGTAGAATGGATAGTTTTCAGAACATGCAACTTTGGCTCTCTTTGCTTTATATAACGTAAGCCAGAGAGTATAAAACCTCTTGTGTGGAGTTTTTTTCTTGCATTTGCTTTTTTCCTCTTCCACAGCATGGCTGTCTTCCAAGGGGAAATTCCCTGTAATTGAGGCATCACTTCCTTTTTAAAACAGAAGCAGCTAGAGATTTTAATTCCACTGTACTGTAATCAATTCTCTCTACCTTCTCTTTCATTGCTCTGTCTGATACATCAAGTGCTCTGCACTGAAACTGTCTGATGCTTATTTGTTAGTAAGAATTACTTGATACTTATACAAAACAGTTATTGATTAGTAAGAGCCCTATACAGTTATCAGTGTTAAGGTGAGAGGCCCAGTGAAAAAGCCTAAACATAAAATTTTGCCTTGACCAGAATTACCATTTATTTTATTGTTGCTTGAGTATTCTAAGTTTGGACTGTAGGAATTCCAAAATACCTCCTCTGAAATACCTTTGTGGCCTACAATCTACTGAAAATATTTATTTTTCTAATAAACATGTTTAAGGAGAGTGAAAAACCTAGCAGGAAAGTCAGTGTGTTGTTGGAGCTGCCACGTTTTTTCAGGAGCTGCTGGAGGTGGCTTCTCTTTTACTAAGAGAGATTTGGATACTTTATGCTTGTTTTGCTTATTGCCTGGGATACTCTCCAGTGTAAGCAAAACCTTTAATGTGTCATGTGCATCCTCAGTGCCTTCCTTAGCCAGGGACCCAGAGCCACCCCCCCGGGGCAGCTGCTGAGGGTCAGTGGGCAGGGAGCCAGGGCAGAGCCCTGCGTGGGCACCTGAGCAGAGGATGCTGTGAACTCCAGATAACAGCATTACTGCCATTGCAACAACTTGGCTTTTGAGTGATGCTGCACCACAGCAGGTCTGAGGGAGCACCAAACAGAACTGATGTCTGCTGGCTCCCAGATGAGGCCCTGTGCATCCAGTGTAGTGGAGGGGACTCTTACTGTGGCTTGTCAGTAATGAGACGTATTTATTCTAATTTTCATCTTTCTGCTGACATAGTTCTAATTGTTGTTATGAATTTTAATGTCCAGTTAGTTGGCTGTCTACCAGTTCAGTGACCACTCAGAGCTGACAGAAAATGATGCTGTTTTATCAAGAGAAACAGAAGATATTCTGGGGTGCTTTCTTATTTTTCCCTCTCTCTTCCCACTCCCCGACCCTCAACAGGAAAGACTAAGTCACATTGGACCTGAGGAGTTTGTGCAGGCATTTGTACATAAGGACCCTCTGGACAGCACCAAGGTATGGTTTCTCCACATACAAAGTGTCTCCTGTGACCCCGGTTTGTCCAGTTGTGACGAGGTCCCCAGGACAGGGCCTGAGTCACAAGCTGACATGGGCCAGGCCAGCTGGTGACCTGTGTTGTCATGGCAAGGATGGGAACCTGTTGGCAGAGCTCTCACTGGCAGGTCACTGCTGTTCCTCCCTGGTGACAAACTGGCCACCACCCTGGTGTGCTTTTGGGCTTGTTCCTCCCAGGCTGCTCTGGCTGTGGCTGTGCACAGCCAGGGATGGCTGCTACCCTGGTGAAGGGCTAAAGGCTCGGGATGTGATGTAACAGCCTCAGTGTGTGCCCAGACACCACAGCAATGAGTCAGTGCACCATGAATCAACTCTTCTCTCTCTACACAACAACACAAAGCACCACAGGGAACAGAGTGCCTGATCAGGGCTTCATCCAAAGGCTGTGAAAGCCACTTGGAGTCTTTCCACTGATTCCCCTGAGGTTTGAAGTAACATTTCAGTGAGTGTCTCAAAAAGGAAAGATGCTTCCTAGCTGGAGAGTCAGAGATTTCACATGCTGTCTGAAAAGAAAGGGTGCAAAATTCCTGCCCTGAACTGTGTATACATTCCCACTGAGGTCATACATCAATGGCTGAATTTCCTCATTGGATGCCAAAGGTACCAGGAAGATCCGTGTTTGTAGTTCTGCACAAAGAGCACCAAAATAGCTTGTAATGGTGAAAAGGTGGATGGATGGGTGGGTGGGTGGGTGGATGAAACATGCAACATTGGGCCCTTTCCTCTCCTTGGACTTGTGGAGATTCTGCAGTTTTGTTTCAGGATGAGGGAAATAGGCAGAGATATGGAGTTACAGGTAGTCTGGGCATTGATCACATCCCTTAGAAAAGAGCTCAAAGGCAGCAAATGTTTGTTAGAAACACAAGATGCCAAAACAGCCACAGTGAGATTTCAGCAACCTGGGCTTCAAGACAGCAAGGCTGATCACAGTGGGGGTAGTCTGGAGCTTTTCTTCATGCTCTGTGTGGTTGATTTAGAAAAGCTTCTGTGCCAAGATACAGCCCAGGGGTAGAGCATTGCACACAGAGTCACAAAATAGTTTAGGTTGGAAATGACCTCCAAGATCATTGACTCCAACCCTTAACCCAGCACTGCCAAGGTCACTACTAAAGCATGTCCCCAGGTGCCACATCCATACATTTTTTGAACACTTCGGTTCCCCCTCTTTGTCTCCAAGCTGAGCTCCCTCAGCTGCTGCTCCTCAGATCTATGCCCCATATCCTTCCCCAGCTCCTCTGCCCTTCTTTGGACGCATCTTTGGACAAAGTAGCACAAACCTTATGTGGATTCATATTCCCTGACCCATGAAGAATATCCCTGTCAAACACAGGGAGTTGGCTCAGGTCTGAATTCCCTCCAGCTGGAGATCATATTAAACATCTTTCTTGTGTGAGGGCTTCAAAAGGCTTCCCTCATGAATGTTTATCAAGCATTCTGAGCTGCAGATGGAAGATGCTTGGGAGGTGCTAAATATTGCTGCCATTTATAAAGCTTAACCTTTAAAAAGCAGTCTGTCTCCACTTTAGTGTTGCACATTTTTCACAAGTTTTGCCTTATTAGCTGTGGCTCTTATGCCCTGGCACAGGACAACATTTCTGAGATGGAAATGCTATTTTCAGACCAAAACCTGGGTTTTGTGTAGTTTTTACTGTAATAGGAAACAAGAAACAGAGCACATGAAAAGCAGGTCCTATGGTTAGACTGGGGCTGATTTGGGTTCCCTTTGGTTTTTTGATATTTACATGCTGCTTGCTAACATTTACTTTTGAGATACTTTAAAAATACATTTTTATTGTGTTTGTAGTCTATTCATAAAGTGGCTCAGAATTTCAGTTCTGTTAGGCTTTGCTCCTCCATAACATGGTACTGTGATTTCTGTTCTTAAACATGTCTGTATACAGAATCACAGGTGAATATTTTCTTACTTTGAGTTACCTTGGGAATCATATTAAGCCACATTTCCAGCAGGGTTCTTAGTCGCTGGTTTACCTTACATAATATGGGTGATCCCATTGATGGATTATGCATTATGATTTTCCTCTTAGTGGCGTGTGTTTATGGTACCTCTGGGAAATGATAGGCCTAATAAAACAAAAATCAGTATTCTCTGGTACCCTCTAGTGGATGGTACTGAATGTTCAGACAAATCTCTGGAACTTTACAGAGCTGAGTGTCCTATATGGATTGTCTAAGAGTTTAACGCTGGGCAAAGCACTTAAATTCTTACAATCCCAAGCAACATATTCAGGCTGTGTGAACTGACCTATCACTCCTCCGAAGTCAAATTTTCTGTTCATGAAAAAGGAACTGGAAGAATTCAGCCAAGTATCTGCTCACGTAACCTGTATCAGTTATGGGAATTTATGTTAAGTTTTATATAAATAAGTGAAAAATATCCTTCTTGTAATGGCTCTTATCAGTGAAGTGCCTCTGACATGTAAGTGACCTCTTTAAACATAGCCATCCAGGCAGAGCTGGTTGCTAAGAATCTGTTTTTCTGAAAACTCACTAAGGAAAATAGTGGGTTTTTTCCACAAAAAAATCAGCCAGAACTGTGTTTTCCCTTGTTTATCTCTTGTACACTTCACTAAATTCTGGTCCCTCCCCTCCAGAAAAGGGCTGTTGGTGACTTTATTTGCTGAGGCGGAGGAAATCCTGGAATCAAAGTCACAAACTGAGCCTGCTGTGGAAGACTGCCTGTCTTATTTTGTCTGCATGTCCTTGTTGATGTCAGGATCCTGCAGTGCCTCAGCTGTTCATATCCCAGTGAACAAGGGTCAGTGCAGACTCCAGGGAACACTTGCTGCAGGCAAAATGGGGCTGTTTTCTGGACACCAGTGTGAATTGTGCCGTGTGACACACCCAGGTATTCACAGGATTTTTAAAAGAGGCCCTTAAATGCACAGTCTTCCATGAGCAAGAGAGAGATGTGGCCAGTAATTACCTTTGTGCAGTATTTATCTTAGTGATCGGGTCTCTGACTGGAACACAGTTATATCTTTCTCTGCTTTTTTCCCCCCAGACTTGTTTCAGTGAACAGAAGAAGACAAGTAACCTTGAGGCCTATGTGAAATGGTTCAATAGACTCTGCTATCTCGTAGCAACAGAAATTTGCATGGTAAGTTACAAGTATGTGCCACGTTTTACCACATACCTGAAGTACCACTCTGAGATTTTATATTAATAAGCAATCCTGGGAATTTATTTCTTATGACCCAGCTAAGCATCTGATGGTAAGTTTTAGTAATGTTGCACTTGCAGAAGAGACCTGATAAATGACAAAATTGCAAAACAGAGGTGGTGGCTCACAGGGGAATGCACTGTTCTCTTGATGTAGTAGAAGCACAGTGTGGAATAATGAACCCTGCAGGGAAAGAGAGAGGAAAAAAATGCCTTGAGTTATCCTGTGAGATTTCTGCCAGCAAAGATTCTAGCAGAGCCATATTTGTTATCTGTCATCCTAGAGATCTGCTGGGTGAATTCCCACTGCATGGCTCTCTGTCCTGCTGCACATTAGCATAGTTGTGGCTGTTGTTCCTTAACTTGTAGTGGTTTTAGTTTGTTTAACTTGGTGCCATCAAAATGAAATTAATGTTTTCCTCTTTGAAAAAGGTATGGAAAGGAGGAATACTAATAGTTTTAAGAGCCAATAATAGTTTAAGAGCCAGCCTGTGACACAATAAGAGTTACCATTTGAAGATCATCTTTGGAAAAGATAGGGTGATTCCAGTCCAATTAAAATGTGTTTTTAAAATAGTAGCATTTGGTCTGGCCGTATTGCTGAAGGGATAGAAGAGGGGAAAGGGATTAATGCAATGAAACAAGCTCTTTCTGAGACAAAGATGCTGCTGGTACAGGGGTGTGAAATCCTGCCCTTAGGGAAGTCTGTGCTGGTGAGCCCACTGAGTGAGGGAGGCCAGCAGGAGCTGAGGCTCTGCTCAGGGCTGCTTGGGCTGCCTGTTCCAGCACTGAGACAGTCACTGGGGCTGGGAATTGCCGTGAATTTCTTCGGTGTCACTGCAGTGAAAGCTTTGATTTCAGAGGCTGCCAGTCACCAGCATCCACTGGATTGCTGGAACAGAATTAGGGCCAGTGACTGGAAGCAGATGGCCCAAGCTGTGCATGAAGCCACACCATGCATGGAACAAATGCTTAGGATGACCTCCAATTCTGCATATGCTCATTACAGATAGTCATTTATTTTAATTTACAGCCTGCAAAAAAGAAACAGCGAGCCCAAGTCATCGAATTCTTCATCGACGTTGCCCGAGAGTGCTTTAACATAGGGAATTTTAATTCACTGATGGCAATCATTTGTAAGTACAGCTTCTAACTGGCTCTTCCATCAGCTGTCACAGATGAAAAAGGAAACCCAGCTCTTATCAATGGCTCTGTTTTTTTCTCTCTCACTCATAGCTGGAATGAATATGAGTCCCGTTTCCAGGCTAAAGAAGACTTGGTCAAAAGTGAAAACAGCCAAATTTTTCATTCTGGAGGTAATAAATAAATAAATAAATAAATGATCCTGATGCATTGCTTGAATTATATCCAGGATATTTTTGTTTGGGAATTTTACATTATTATCCAGGTGTGAGGTGTCTGGAGGCACATTTCACAGGCAGAGAGCCTGATTTTAAGCTGAAATATACCAGGTGTAGTGAGGAAGGTGTAAAGCTGATGATATCAGAGGGAATTCAGAGTACTCAAACAAATAAGAGGAATTTAAAAACCCCAAAGTATGAACCTATATGCACATCACAGTGCTTCTACTGATGCATGTTTTGTTTGGCCATGGGCACAAAGCTGCATGTAAAGCTCCCAGTCTATACCTTGAGTGAAGGGCCAAGGCTGTATTTTGTATTGAGAATTCCAGAATTTGGCACACATGGAATGTGCAGTGCTTATTCTTCACATAAAAGCTCAGTAAGCTGTCAGTAGAAATATCAAAGGTATAAGCAGCCGTGGGCTGTAGACCTCTCATTGCATCTTTGGTGCACGGGGTTCTGCGGGCATCTGGGTTTTGAAGATGGAGGCTCTGCTCTGCTCATGGTTTGCTACAGCTGAGTGTAAAATTGTCTTTAGAGGGCCCAGGCTGCTTTCTAACCAATGTGTGTTGTTTTGTGCATGTAGCACCAGATGGACCCTACTGGCAACTTCTACAACTACCGGACAGCACTGCGGGGGGCTGCCCACAGGTCCCTCACCGCACACAGCAACAGGGAGAAGGTGGGTGTGACCACAGCCCCTCCACCTCCACACAGAGGGTGCATTTCTGCTGCCAGCCAGTGCCTCCAGCACTTAATGCAGATGCTCTCCTCCCTTCCCTGGGTCACCAGTGCAAGGCCTGTGTGCTTCAAGATGCAACCGGAAATGTAAAATGTGAAAAAAAAAAAAAAAAAAATTATTGAAAGAGTCTGGATAGGATCAAAGCAAATCTTTGTGGACTTGCTGTCTGACCTTGGGAGGGTTAGAGAGGGCAGGACACACAGCATGGAGAGCTTTGTTGCAAGTGTCTTTACATCCCTGGAAAATTCACATTGTTCAGATTGAAAAACCTGATGGAACAGGTATTCCAGACTGAAAAGACTTTTATTTTGGTGATGGAGCATGAGCCTGGCAGAGGCAGGTGGAGCTGTGCTTTGTTACAGCTGTGCCCCAGGCTCTGGCACAGAAGCCACTATTGTGTGATGTGTGAGGTGAGATGGAGAGCAAAGGGCACAGCAATAGAGGCAAAGTGGATCTTCATTTCCATCAGGGAAAGATGATTTACCACAAGTCCTGCAAGGGAATCTAGTCTAAATCCATTGCAGCAAATTTGGGGTGATATTCTGTCCTTGTGAATTTTCATTTCATTTGGTTGTTGCTGCCATCTCAGTGAGCAAGAACTGAAGTGTTTTATCAGTGTTCATGGCAGATGTGGGGCTTTCTGACATGTCACTGATGCTGCAAAAATCAGACTGACAAGATGTTAAGAGTGTAGGATCCTCCTGGTTTGTGCCCCAATGTGTTTCTTGTTAATTTTCTTATTCCTCCATTCAATTCTTTATTTATTGGTATGTGAAAAAAGGTTTGTGTTCTATACTGCAATTGCCCACAGTCATAAATGGGTAATTTCTGCTGTAAGCATGGCAGAGCTAAAGTAGCTGCTGGATGAACAAGCACAATATGGAATTTAGTATTCTTTCACTAGAGGAGCCAGGCCAGATGCTAATCTCACACCCCTGTAAATTTGATGTAAATCTGCTGAAGCTAATGGAATCTCAAAGCATTTACAGTGAAATGAGATCAGCATCTGGTGGCAGGCTGACTCAGCTGCAATGGGAGTACACCGAGTTGTTCTGAAAAGCACTTCTCTATGCAAAGGAGAGATCATTTGGATGTGTGTGACTGGAAAAGCAATTCTTTCAACGCTCACACACTGCAGTGAGGACCTGTCAGTCTGAGATGCTTTTGCAGTTTAGCTCTTCTGCAGCCATCATAGATATTCAAGCCAGTTGCTTTATTGTTTGACTTAATTTCCTGTGAAGTTAGCAATCTCTGTCATATCTCTACCCCCAGCTGGTTAATACTGATGGCAGAGAGGTTATTAGACTGAAAGGCATCTATTTTACATCAGAAAAAGCCCATATTCTGTTTTCCTTGTGTAGAGAACATTAGTTCAGGAAAATGCTCCAGGATATGATTTGGTAGCTCATACTGGGTATTTTACAGTGTCAGATACAGCAGATCATGTAATGCTTTCTGTAGGATTAATGAATTTTGTTCCTTTTTAGAAGCAAGATTATAATTTATTTGTTTTATTGAAATTGAACATATCCAAAAGAACATGATCACATCTTTTTGACAGAAGATGTTACATTTTTTTCTTGGCAAACTCATAGCAAAGCTTGCTCTGAAGAAAATTTTTATCTTCAAACTGAATTATGCTTGCAGAGGCGTGTAGTGGTTAGTAAGCAAATCTGGTTTTGCCTGTGCAGTCAAATGACCATGACAGCTTCAAAATGAAGTCATTCCACTGGGAAACTCTGCATTGTACTCATGGCATAGCTCTGGCTTTGAAATGTTGGGAGTGTGTACAGCACAGTCCAGTGTGTTGTTGCTGTCTGATACTGTGGAGCAAGGACAAGTCAGATCTCATTAACTTTCTTCTTTCTGCAGGAGGCAATTGTCCTTCAGCATGTAGATGTGTTGGATGGCATGGAAAGGCAATAAAAATGGAGAGAAATACGAGTTTCTGGCACTAACCCAGGTTTTATGCTACCAAAGTGCCTGAAATGAAACCAGTATTAGGGTATAATCGTAATCACTTTTGTTGTTGTTTTTCCTACAGAAATTTGGAGAGCAAAACATACATGGTAATGTATTTTATTGGGAAAATAAATAGTGAGCAAAATACACCAATTCCATGGAAATGTGTAGAGAATTGGTATCGTTGGGTATGTCTTTTCAGCACCTTTTGGATGAGATGAGAACGAGCTCTGCCATGTTCAGAGCTTACTGGGGGCTCTGTAGCTGTATTACCCTGGCATCCAGCCCACATTTGTGTAGCTTTCCTCTCAGCAAGGCTTTTCCTTCATGTTTAGTACCACTAATGGTGCTGACCTTTCTCCCAGGCAGTGGAGCAGGACAGAACAAGCTCACATCTGTCTGCAACAAAAATATGTAGACAGAACCTGGCAGTGATTTCTAGCTGGGATCAGTGTCTGGCTCCAGCTCTCTGTAACTTCCCACCTTTTGAGATCACACTGGTTACAAAGTCATCATCATTTTTGGTAGAAAACCAACCACATGGAGTGACTTGTATTCTTTACTGCAGGTTGACTGATCTAGTTTGGGTAATATGAAAATAAATCCTGAAACACACTTAGTTCAGTTTGACTAGAAATTGTTCCGCCTGATCCTAATTGGAGGGCTCAGCATTTTGGGAGGATAAGGCTCTGCTTTGTTTTCATTCCTGAGTTGCATCAGTGGAATGTATCAGGATAAGTATCCAGTGGCTCTTGGGGCATCAGTCGAGGCTTTTTTATGGCTGTTTGCAGTGGCATTACAGAGTTTATCTGTGGCTGTCCCATAAAAAGGCCAGCAGAGATGCAGATTTTTTCAAGTTTACTGGGTGTGGTAATTTAGCTGGAACAGAAATTGGCTTCCATTTTCACAACACACACTGGCAGTAGCTTGTGGACTCCTTGCTTCAGTGTTTTCACTTCTATGGCTTGTTGACCCTCATTGGAGCATCACAGCATTGTAGCATCCCTGTAGACTGGAAAATAACAGCTGCCAATCCTGTCCTGGGTCCATTTCATATCCTGTTACAGCTGATGTACAGCATGAGATGGAATAACATTAAATACTTAACTAAAGGATTGCTCTCTTGGCTCTTCTTTCTTGTCATGAGGGCTCTTCAGTTTTGGTGCTGCTTAATAATCTCTAGTTCAGTTGATATACAAACAGACCAGTGGAAACATTTGGCCACTGCCATGCAGTGTGTGTTCTTTTATGTTCATGGTGGTTAAGTTTGTACTTGGTGTTTTAAAAGACAGACAGGAAAATTCTGCCACAGGAAAATTCTCACAGAGGCAGCTGCTGACCTTCAGCTTAAACCCCCTAAGCAGCCTTTTGCTGTCACAGTGTCAGTGCTGGAGAGGTGGGCAGGCTGAGGTTTGACTGTTTTCTTTCTTTTCCCTTTGAGCTGTGAGACAAAGGACCCTGAGAGAATCTGCTTCACTCCGGATCTCTGCTGAGGTTGAAGATGCACTTCAGGAGTGCTGAAGTGCATTTTACTGTTGTTCTACTGCTTTCTGCTGTAGAACATCTGGCATAAAATTTATTTATCCTTGCTTTTAATTCCATCAGTTTCAAGAGTCCTATCCAGACTTCTTTTATAGCAAATTATGACCCAGCTCTGATGGGCTAGAGGAAGGCTTCGATATAGACCACTCTGCCCTGGATGATGGCCAGGGCTAGTTTTGAGAACTACAGTGGTCTCTCTGGCTACTGTTAGCAGATTCCTGTCAACCAGTTTAATATTTTCAATCCTGTTGTCTGCAGGTTAATTTTGCAAAGCAGGTTGTACTAATCAGGCACCAGGAAGGAAATTACATGCCTCAAGAGGTAGCTGTGCATGGAGCTGTTGAAAATGAAACAGCTCCTGATTAACTGTTTGTAGACAATTCCTTGGTCATCAAATTTTATGCTATCTTTCCTTGTCCAGGGACAATATTGGTTCTTTGGTTCCCACCCGTGTTTAAATTGCTCAATTTGTGTGTTCAGCATCTCTGTTTATAAGGATACAACAGGAAAGGGAAGAGTTCTGCAATGTTATTTTGCTTTTTGCTGTCTGATGTTGTCATCAGACTGTGGTGTTGTTAATAATAAACCGGGTTTTTAGCACTTTCTTAGTCATGTTGTTGTGCTCAGTGAACATTGTGTACAGTTCACTTTCATCTCAGCATACATTCTCCTGGTGGCTGAAGGTCTCTCTAGACACTACTGCCCTTTTTGCTGGCCTGTAGCTGTACTGCTTTTCAAGTGCACAGCACATCAAAAAGTTAATACTTCTCTATTCTCATCTCTCCCAATTGAGTTGTTCTTTCATGCAGAGAAAATACTGAACTGAAAAGATAATGGTTGTGTCATTTCTCTCCACAGATTGTGATCCCCTTCTTCAGCCTATTGATCAAAGACATTTATTTTTTGAATGAGGGATGTGCTAATCGCCTTCCAAATGGACACGTCAACTTTGAAGTAAGATCTGAGAAATGTTTTTACCTATCCCATTCTGATAGCCAAGGGACTATCTGAGACTATTAGCCTGCTATTTTCAGTGCAGACCATCAAACACTGAATATGAGGTAATATTATATCTGAGTGGAATGATTTTATGTTTACAGAAATTCCTGGAACTGGCTAAGCAAGTAGGAGAGTTTATAACATGGAAACAAGTGGAGTGTCCATTTGAGCAAGATCCTAACATCATCCACTACTTGCACACTGCTCCCATTTTTACTGAAGATGGTAAGACTGTACAATCACTCATCACTGAAAAGGTCTTTCTTCATCACTACTAATTAACACTCTGATCCATGCTTTGGTGATTTCCCTCACTGACCAGTGCCAGCTGTTTCCTGGCTTTCCTGTCAAACAGCTTGTTTATGCCCAGTTTATCAGTGTGTTTTTGCAAATACAGCCTTCCAGCACATGAACCTGCTGCCTGATGGCTTTTCTCTTCTCTGTAGCTTCTCTATAAGGCACTGTCTAGGAAGCTGCCATTGTGGCCTTATTTTTTTAATCACAAATTGAGGCATGTCATGTGCTCCTGTGAATGTCAGCTGTCTCTTAGCTGCTCGTTCTGTGATTGATGGAACCAGAGCTAATCTCTCTCACAAATGAGCACTGTCATCTCCTCAGTAAACGCAGCTCAGGGCGATGGAGTCCAGCTGACTTCCTCCTCTACAGCAATGACATGTTATGTACAGGAAAGAATTTTTAAGGAAAATATTCTATTCATTTCAGCTGTAGCTGTGAAAGCCCTGTTCTGAAATTATTTCTCTGATTGTCTTTTTATACTTTTGTGTCCTCATCAGTTTGGTATCCAGCATGTCAGTATGTGTCACTCCATGCTGGTTTGTGTCAGCTGCCTCTCTATACATTGTCACGCACAGAATTGTCTATAGCAACCTTCCCATAAGCTATTCTGGTGGTGGGTTTATTTTTTCTTCATTCTATAGGCAGTTTTCCATACTAATCCAAGGTAATCAGACGAGACAGTTTTTATTTCATAGACTACTTCAGAAAGCAAAGTACTGCTTCTAAAATCCTGCCTAAATCTTAAGAATGACTTCCAAAATAGAATCATTAAAGTGATATGTATCGAATGGAGATAGGATGAAGGTAATTCTTGTTTTAGGCTCTAAAGGGACAGAAAATAAAAGTCAGGGTAAGAGTACAGTTTTCACACTACTGGGCTAAGAAAGAGTGACCTCAACCCACTAATTGTATGCAGATTTTCTCCCTCATACTATGTCATACTAACATATTTTAACTCTGGGCTCCTCTACTGTGCCATCAAAATTAATGTAACAGCTTTCCAAGGTAGACATGTGAGCTAAACATCAGTGTCCCACTGGTTACCAGCTGCTTGGGGGACCATGAAGTTTTACAGTTACTCTTCCTGTGGGGTACAAAAGGACATACAAGAATGCAGAGGGATGGGGGTTACCAATCCTGTTGGAAATAACAAATATTTACTGTTTCCAGGTTTGTATCTGGCTTCCTATGAAAGTGAAAGCCCAGAAAACCAGACAGAAAAAGACAGGTGGAAATCCTTAAGGTAACCTCTCATTTTATCAGCTCATTGTTAAAGTACCTCCAAACAGCTGCTCTGATACCAAAGCTTGTGAAGGGCAGGTACCTAAGCTGTGACCCCTGAGAGGGGTCTCTTCCATTTAAAACTAATGTGCAGAGCTAAGGCTGCACTGATAAAAGCTCATTTTAATCTCAAATTATCCTCCCTGTAAAGAATACCCTCAGCTTGCTGTACCCATGCACAAGCCTGATGCAGATGAAAAATGCCCCAGGTCAATTGGATCTTCCAGTGATCTACAGCTCTTCTAAGAGATGTGAAATGGTTTGATATAAGTGAGACTATGAAGAGAGTGATTAAAGCAACTCAGACCTTTAAATTTGCTTTTTTAAAAAAACTGTCCTTATGTTTTACATTTACAGATCCACAATTTTAGGAAAGACTTGAAGATTGAGAGATTATTGCAGTAGGTCAAGGAAAAGAAATCCGCAAACATTTTGCACTACTGATTCCAAAGATGCCTGTTTGGGATTTAGACAATTTCTTTTGTTTGAGGTTTTTTTGGGGTTTTTTTGACTGCCTAACATGATGGATGAACTGGATTCATCCACTGAAATCAACAGAACTGTGTGCACAGTGATGCTTTTCTATGTATGAGACAGAGAGAGGAAGGACAAACAGACTATTTGTGGCTGTGCCCAAACTGCGTCAGGATCGCTGTAATTTCGCCTCTGAAGGAAAATGCAAGAAAACCAGGAGCAGGGAGAATCATGGTACTGCAACAGAGAATGGAAAAGTACAAAAAAGGAAAGTAAAAATACACAAGAGTATTTCAGAAGCAGGTGCTTCAGACAGCAGTTCTTTAAACCTTTGAGGATTGTAAAATTAAATCAAAGACAACAGCAATCTGGTTAATTGCTGAATGAAGAAAAAAGAACTTAACCTTGCATTAGCAGTCCCCCAGCCTTGTTGAACAAAGCACTGACTGCTGCAGGTTGGAGCTTGCAGGGACAAGGACTGACACCGCTCACAGACACGTCTGTCACATGTAGGCCACGTCAGCATGGGAACATTGTCCTGACCCCAGGGATTTTTACAGAGAACATTCTGGAGTGTGACTCTTGCTTAGTTAATCTTCCCAGCGCTGTTGTTGCTTTCCTTACTGTGAATCTGGGCCGGTCTGAGGAGGGCACAAAGGGCTGATGGTGCTGCTTAAAGACACCCCCACCACTTCTGAGGTTGAATGAAGAAGCAAATAACTCTGGGCTCAATTTACCTCTATTTAATGTATGTAGTGTATTCCCTAAATTTATTGATGCTGAGTTGCATCTTTTAAGGGTTTTATCGCACTCAAAGAAAAAAAGTACTGCATTACCATTTCTATCAGGTTCCAATTAACACAGTACTGCTTATTTTGTAACATGATACTTAGGAGGATGGGGGGTAATTGCTCTGAACTTGGGAACTACATGGTATGCTTTAAGAAGACAAAGGGTTTCAGACTGGAATGAATGCACTAAAGAATTTGTCATTCATTAACAGATAACCATTTTTGTCTTTTTTACTTTTAGGATGTAAAGTTCACAGTTTCCTTACAGATAACATGAAATAGGACTATGTCTTGTGTTTAAAGTTGTACAATAATCAAGGTGCTACTGTAATAGATACATTAAATGATAATGAACCATATTAGATTCAAAACTAAGCCCTAACAGTAGACTTATTGTTGTGTGTGGAAGGAATGTTCCTAACTGCCCCAGAAAATATCTCAAAAAGCTTAAATGAAACCTAAATGCCACATCATACTGAACTTTGCATTTTTATTACTGACTTGGTGCTACCTTTTCAGATGTTCCAGTCCTTCTCTCCCTACAACAGAAGGATGCAACCCTTTCTTTGAAATCAGTAACAATTTTATTTCAGCATAAAGTGATTCCAAGTGGCTGTGGTGTTTTGAAAAGTTAGGGTAATTACAAAACCTGGCTGTGTTGGCCTATTCAGACAGAAAACTGGAACTGTTCCTGCCCTCTGCCAGTCCTCAAAGTTGTCCGTGCCTGAGTGAGCTGTTGACCTGGAGGCATGGGCAATGGGAATGCTCTGTGTGGCACTCTCCAGGTTTGATGTGTCTGCAGAGCAGTTCTGTGTTGGGTTATGGCCTGTGGGAGCCCAGTCTGGCTCACTGAATCCACTTACGAACTGAGCAGGATGGATTCTTCTGCATTTGCAAACAAGGCTTGAGGCAGAACTTCAGGTCTCCTTCTCCTGTAGATCTATCAGCACGTGAATTCAGACAGGGGACATAAAACTCTGATGTGTTTATTTGTGCTTTGTATGGAAGAACTAAGTGTCAGGATGGTACAGCATCATTGCAGCCATGGAATGATGACTGTTCTGCTGATACTGTGAATCTGCTGTTGGTTAATTTTTGTACACGAGCTGAGAGCTGCACAGAGAAACTATACACATATTCCTTCAGGCAGAACCATTTCCAAAATGAAGCCATTATAAGCCTGTTAAATTTCAGATGAATCCAGAGCAATAACCATAAACGTATCTACAACAATGCTAATGTTTAAATGTGTTTCCTAAATGGTAATTTTTTCTTACTATCTGCATATTTTTAACAGGCACAGTGTGACTTCACAGTGGAGATATGGGGGTTTTGCTAACCTGAAACCCAGTGCAGGTGGATGGGCCCTTTCTTCTTGCTTTTTAAAACTGAAATCCTCACTCCTTTTCTAATAAGCCACTAGAGGTTGGTATAGATGAGATTATAAAACTGTGACTATTAATTAAAATATGATTTCTCATTATAATTCCTTATATTTTGGGGCACTTTCCATGAATTTGGGCAATTTTGTAAGTACAAGTTAAATTAGATCTCCTAAAGTTTATCACCGTTGCAAACGAAACCACATTTGTAGTCCAAAACTTTCAGACCTCAGTGCTTAAAATGGAAGCATAAAGGTCAGACCTAGGTGGATATTAAGGGCTTAGTGGGACTGTCGGAAGCACTAAATTATTTTTAAGCCTTTATGTAGTCACACATTTAAAAGGTCATTTTTCAGAGGTGCTAAACATCCTAATCTCTTGGGGAGTAGTGAAGCAATTCTTGCTTTATAGAGGTGCATGGCACATTAATCTGTAGTGTCTGATCTCTAGAGACATTCACTGCTCTTTGCAGCAGGACTTGGAGATGAGAGTGCAAAACAACTTAAGATGAGAAGACAGTGCTTTTAAAAAACAGACTTCAGGAGACATAGCTTGTCTTCACAGAATTTTGTAGCTAAATCCTATATAAAGAGAAGCAATGTAAGCCTTAAGTTGCATCTGTCAGTTGCATTTCTATTTGATCTCTGGTCTAACCAGTGTGAACAGCTCCTGGCAGGAGCGGGGTTAGAACTTTGCTTCGCCAACAGCACCTGAAAACAAAGAATGACAATTGAAAACAGAATGACAATTTGGGCAATAAATTTCTTCTAAAAATGTATTTATATTACATGAAAATGAGAATATATACATATCCAGTAATCCATTCTTCTTGCTATAAAGCCATAAAGAACTCCTGCCATGATGAAAAGAAAGGATCACTTCCCACCAAGCACTAGACTACTGTAAGCAGTGCAGTCATTAGACCAACATCTAGACAAGTTACTTTTAGTAATGCTGTGACTTTCTAATTCTGCTTCTCTGAGTGGATTCACTCCCTGGCAGCTGCTTGAACTAATGCTGCACAGAGAACAGAGCAAAGCTAGACCTGTAGGTCTGCAGTGTTGGTATCAAACCCCTAAGCTTGTAAGATGTGAATATGACACAGTCTTGCAGAAGCATTAACTTAGTTTCTGGTATACAGCAGTATTTTAAAAGACCCAGATACATTAAATCACTTCTGCACCTCCTCCACTGCATTCAGAATGGTAGCAAAAGTCCCATTTTTCCATTTCTTGAGTGTGCCATCCTGCAATGTGGGGATAGGTATAAAGCTCAGTGAAAGCAAGGAGGGAATTGTGTGCCTTCAGCTTGTGTGAAGTCAGTAGATGAACTTGCTCAATGCCTTTCAGAAGACACTTATGTTGCCCTCAATTTCAAATCTGCATTGATCACGTTACTGAATTAAAGGTGCATGGATATAGGGCAGCTGGGCACAACTAAATTTTCAGGACAGAAACTCGAAATGAGTCAAGCACTCAAGAATCCTGTGCACCAGAGTACCCTGGTCAGACTGCCGTTATTCCCCCTCTTAGGCAATGAACACAATCCTGTTGTACATCTCTGGAAGCTCCACGTGTGGATAGAGCAAACTTGGATCTCGGCTTCTGCTGAGGTGTCACTTTAAAAAAGTGTGGACAGCTGCTAAAGCACTTCAAATTAGAAACAATTTAAATGTAGAGATATTTTTCTGAGCTCAAGAATATTTTATGATGTGGTCAGTAGTGATAAGATAATCACTCAATTAAAATTAAGCCTGTCCCTTCCTGATATCTTGGCTATTTCATCTCGTTTTATTGCAATAGTATAATGCACCTTTTTTTAAAGCACATGAGCACTGCTTTGCACATGACTGTAAATCCAGTTTAGAAAGAGCTCAGATCACTGAATATGTAATTGGAATTATCAACTAAAAAGACATGTTAGTAGAAAAAATAGTTGTGCATGTCAATGTAAAAATGTTACACAGTTAACAGTCTCTGGCCTAGCAATGACTGTGTTCCATGGAATGAGACTGATTCCAAGCACAGCAATGTGCCAGAGGAAAAACTCCAATTAATTCTGATGGGCTTTGGAGCAGTCTTGCAATTATTAACTGTAGTACAGTTTTTAGTTATTCATAGGTATTAAACTGCCAGCTGGTGGAGTCTCTGTGCCAGGTGCAACTCTCAGATGGGAGATGCGCTTAATAGGGTGAAAGTCCAGCCTTAGCAAAAGTTTTATTTGACAGTGTTGAAGTTTCAGCAGCAAATTCAAAGGCTACATCTGATCCAACAAATTAATTCATGTCTGAGAGCAAAATTTGACTTTCTGGCTTTAAGAACCTTTTTCTCTTTTTATACTAGTAGAAATTAGCCATACTTTCTAAAATTACTCTCTCATTGGTCATTAAACCCCCTTTGATTGTGAACTGATTATTTCCATTGTTGCAGTTGCAGAATGGGGTTAGGGAGTGACAAAGAAACAAAAAAAGGCCCCTTTGTTACTGCTCAGAGACTCAACTGTGGGCCAAAGATGTCTTTTATCCTTTCTAACATCACCTGTGCAATGGAATTCCCTCTGTAGGTGGTGCAGGGCATTCCTGAAGTGTGGGTACCCAGCTCTCGGGATGATCTCAAAGCTCAGTGCACATTCACATCTGAGCCTTCACTCTGCTTTCTGATGCTGGGACACATCCCTTTTGAAGGAGAGAAAGTTCTTGGAAGTTCACCTGAAGCAAAACCTACTATACTTCCTTACCCACCCAACAGAATGATTACAAGAAGATTCTTTGAACTAAAAGAAGTTTTCTCTAGTGGACTTGAAACAGTAAAGAATTTGTTACTTAGGTGACAGAGATTTTAAGATCTAAGAAAAATAAGTATTTTTAAAATTATTAGAAATACTTCGATGGTTGTTAACTTTCATATTTCACTGCATGGTGGCAGAGTGGAAAAAAATATCTTCTATTAATACCAATGGCAGCTGGGCAGGTGAAGGCAGGAGAAAATACAGTGAAATACTGGTGCAGAAAATGTTACCAATAATTTTGTTTTAATATTGGCTAGGGTGTTTCCCATCCCCCGAAACCACTGCTCCCTACTCTGAGGAACAGCTGAACCAGTTACATTTTTAGATGGAACAGATCTAAAGTTTAATCTGGTTTGTATTAATTTCTTTTACATTTCTTTCTGCACATTTTCAGATAAACAAAAAATACTAAATACACTAAAGCTAATGCTCATACAAGGCATTACATCCTGCATTGTTACATTGTGCAAGCGTAGCTAGGGAGCAGATAGCTTGTACGGTGGTGTTTCATACACTCTGCACGGCTGTAAGACACTGAAATTCAGGCTGCAGCCTCAGCTCAGAAAGAAGCTGAGTGTGAGTCACTCCTGCCGGGCTCCCCTGCCCTGCTCCGTGGCCAGCACAGGCTGCAGTGCTGCAAATTCACAGTGGCTTAGACCGCTCACTCCTCCCTTGATGCCTTTCCCTCCGCAGATGTGGTATTTTGCTCCATAAACAGCTCTTGCAAAATGCCAAAGGAACATTTTTCTAGCTCTCTGCCATATAAAGGCTCTGTATTCATACTCCAGATCTGTCAAAACAGAATAGGAGTCCTTCTCTCTTTTCATCCCCATGGCCTTAAAACTGCCAACCCAGATTAATATTACAGTGTAGCAATGTTTTCAGGCCTCCTAGAATGCAGAAGACTTAGTAGTTCAGAGCTCAGGAGTCCTACAAGTTAAATGTTTGTAAAGGAACCTTCTTTCTAAAAGGTGTAAAGCCCCATCTGATGGAATTTTGAACAGAAAATTACATATTCCCGCTACCTTTCATAGCTTCCTCAGTGAACTATTACTGGTCAGTATTATATCACTGCTTTCATTATTGAATTATGCTCCCAAAATTCCAGTCTTTCTGAAATGAATATATGATGTTTTTTTGATGATGTGGGCAAACAGAATAGAGAAAATGGGGCTGTAGTTTAGGCTGTTGACATCATCTGTGTTTCTTTAGCAGCCCAAGCTGGGTTATCACTTACTGTCTGTCCTTGCCTTGAACCACAAGGAATTATTCCAATACAATTGTCCAAATTATTAAAACTTAGTGAAAGATGCTCATGCAGAGCTATTAAATTAGATTGTTTCAAAGTCTGGTTCTTACAAATGTACAAGTACTTCCCTTAGGGGTCTGTCTGTAAAAACACCATTACTAGTACATAACATATATGGAAAACAAATTATCCTCTGGGTTCCAGAGATCTTAGCGAGCGTTCATCAGCTTATAAAGGTGAAAAGTTGGATTTTCAGAATTTTTTTTCACTTTTAGCCACAGCGACTATGAACTATCTAAACTCCAAGATCATAGTCTTCTAAAACTATTAGAATGATACTATTTAGTCACAGACCTGAAAGCACAGAGTAAAAATGGGTAAGCAGAACTATCTTTATTTTCAGACTGAGACACTCAAAGGTTGCATGACAGGCCCAGGACTACCTGGGGAGAATGTCCTTTCAAAAAATTACCCAAAAAGATATCCAAATTTTAGTTTTACATTTCTTCTGGTGTTAGTCCTTTTTACAGCTGTGCTTAGATAAATGGGAACTAAATTATCACTTTAGGTTTTAAAAATAATGAAGCTAAAAAATAAATATTACTTAAAAGAGTGGTATGTGTTAATCATGTGCGTGATAGCAATGAGGAACTGTGCTTTTCCTGTATCTTCTTCATTAAATTAAAAAAATTCATGTTGTGATTAGCATTTTCAGGTCAAATTGAAATCTATCTACCGTAGAATCACAAAATTGTAGAATCATTTAGGTTGGAAATGACCTTTAAGATCATAGAGTCCAACTTTTAACCCATCCATAACACTCAAACCATGTAGCTTTGTTAGAAATTCCCAGAACAAATACCAACACTTTATTAATTGCACAGGCAGGAAACAGTAAAGTTACTTGAAAGTGGCTGTTATGATTTTGTGACTGTACATAGATCTTGCAAAATGTTATTGGTAATATGCATCCTGTAGCCCACATAAACACTGCGAGAATAGCATGGTCATTGTTACGCTTTATAGCTGTTGTGGAAAATGTCTTAACCTGCATTCATGATGATAGTGCCCATCCTGCTCCCATGCCTTTTTATACAGTTGTGGTAAGATTGTTATGAAATCCTTTTGTCAGTCATGTTCCAGCTAAATTACCTATGTATAGAATTTATATATTAAACCCCCCTAATTTATACTGTGTTTTAACAGTTTGCCTGAACTGTCTATGGTTTCTAAATTTTGTAATGTGAGTGTCAAATAAGAATAATAATTAAAAAAAAAAAAGGCTTGGCTGTGTGGATTTTTTTCCTTTGGTTTTATACATAGTAAATATTTCTACAGGGTAGGCTGTGAAGAAACTCCAAAAATACAACGAGATGTCCCTGACTCTGCACAACAATTAATGAATATGTGTGTAGGAAGAAACCTGTGGTTTCTGCTCTTTCTCATTTCCATTTTACTGCTTCTCTCTTCATCCTCACACATGCAGTTCAAGCATGTGCACTGCAAGAAAAGGAGACAGATTCACAGTTCCCATAATAAAGTATTTCCCCAAATATGAGTTGTAGAATGGAAACTTCATAATAGTAGGAGGAAGAAGCTGAGACTGGGTCTGAGTATTTTTAGTTTGTTTCTATAAAACTCTGTGGTACAACTGATGTTTAAATGCATTCTTTTAATATTTGTGTTGCTGACAGCAATGCAAATAATAAACTGAGAGGTGCTACTGAGATGAGGGCCCCATTTCAGTAACAGTGTACAGCAAGAGACATCGTTGGTTCAAGCAGCTTAAAATTTTTTAAATGAAGAAAAAAGAGGTTCAGAGATGAAACTTGTGTAGACGGAAGTGGAGGAGTTCCCTTGATGTAACATTTGGCACCTGTACCCACGATGTGAGTGTGTAACTGCTGTTCAGCACAGCTGGTCCTGCCTGTTGTCACCAAGGGAGAACAGCTCGATGTGAGTGGTGTCGCTGTCTCTGAAACCTGCAGAAGTGGATGTGCAACCTCCTTTCTCAGCAGTGTTCTTACTCACAGTGCCAGAGCTCCTCTTGCCAAAAGGAACTGTTGAGTCATCTGAATTTCCTGTAAACTGTGGCTTATCCAGGCTTCCCCATGTGAAGCCCCCAATTCTCTATTAGGCTAAAATATTTCAATTCTCAGGAAGCCCAGCTGTGCCCCAGAGAGTGAGAGAAGTCCAAGTTTCAACCATCACTGTGAGCTTTTCAGTTAAGGGAGTAGATCAGCTCAGCCCAGCCCAAGGTGACCCCAGGTGGCCCGTGGATCACCAAAGTGAGACCCAGCCTGCCCAGGGGAGGGAACACTCCCTGCTCCTGGTGAGCCGCCAGGGCACGGTGTCCCCATCGCCTCAGCGCAGCGGGACACGCTGAGGGCAGCGCAGGACGTTCCATCTGCCCCTGGCCACAGCTCAGCTATCACTGGCCACAGCTTCTCCCCAGCGCACACGGGAATGAACACAAGTGCCCACACTCACACAAAGTTTCTGGATCACTGCTTTTCTAAGAAAAATTCTAATAACTTCTAAAGAAGGAAAACGTGTCCCTAAGCCATAACCATGCCTTGTTCTTTTTCACCTGGCTGTGTATATTTGCATTTTTTTATTCTACTGCATAATATAAAAAAAAATAATTTAAAAAAATCTATTTTAAATTTTTTCTTTATAAAAATAAAACTCTCATGGAATGGAAATGCAACTGTCAGTGGGTTCTCACTTTGCCTTTCTGCTGATCCACACATGCACGCTCCTATTATCTCTTTGAATTTACATATGCCACAACAATCTGGAACACTGGCTTCCTTGATCAGTAGTTACAGTGATTTGTGAAATGAATAATATATTTTGCCTGTTATATCTTAGAAATTCTCATGGTGGTTTTTCCAGCCCCATTCAGCTCATTCCCTTATAAAGAGACAGTATTGTCATTACTCTGTCCCTGAGCTCCCAAGCAAACATACGACTGTTCCCACACAGTCGGGGGAACCCGAGAAAAACCTCTCTGTCAGTATAAAAATCAAACCATGGAACTGTAGAAATCCATAAAAAACTAAAGGCAAAGCACAAGTGCTAATCAGCCACCCTCTGACACCAGAGGGAGGAAAAACAAAACCAATACATCTGTAATTAAAAGAAAGCAAGCACAGCACTGGAAGTACTGAAAGTCAGGAATTTTTGGCTCTGCCTCTGAGTTTTTCTGAGGCTTTGGGCAAGGCAGACAACCCTTGCTCTAAATTTTGTATCCAAACAATAAGAAAACTCGATAAGATCTATATCTCCAGAAGAGCTGCTGTGAGGATGGATTGCCTCCTGTGGCAAGACATTTGAAAGAGGAACCTTACAAAATTGCATTTTGAAGCAAATGGTTTTAATATATCTTTTCATACACTCACAATGTGTCCCAGCAGCACAGTAACACTGAATTGTAATGTACTCTGTTGTACAGAGCAATCCAAAACATAGTTGCATTGTGTGTTGCTCACTCCACAAGCTGTGCATACATTTGGCATTGCAAGTCTAATTAAAGAAGGATATCTCTCACATAAACAAAAGTAAATACCATAAGGGCTGACAACAGAAGTGGCTGTAACTGCACTCAAATGAATTTCCCAAGTTTTTTAAAGACTGAATTTCTCTAGTTTGATTCTTCACTGTTCTTTACCTCATTCCTGACTTTAAAATGGCCATTTCTAGAGGGACTGTCACTTTGTGCTACATAGCCTGGTCATGGGCAGCAAATTTCTGCTGACTTTATCCTTCTCTGAGGCACCACCTAAATTCCAGCTGACATTCCTCCACTGCTGTGTCTCCACTGCCACCTCCTGAACAGGAAGGAAAATTAACTTCTTCCAATTCTGCTTTCTTTTGAATGTCTGCAGAGGTGGTTTTGAAAGCGCTTTGTTCAGCACACAGAGCAGGAGCTGACACTGCTCTGCAATCTGCCTAGAAAGGCTACGTTCTATAAAATCCATTGTAAGGCTTTTACTTCGGAGGGAAATTTCTTTATGTATATTTGATATGATGGTGGTTCAACATTTCTTGTTCAAAAAGGTCCAAGAATTAATTTCTGATAGGTTTATTCCTCCTTCAACTGTCAGCTGAAAGCCTCTGACTGAAACCAGTAAATTTTTACAGCTCCCATTCATTCTGTTTTCACAATGCACAAAAGTTATTTCTACCTTTTCTATTCCTGGCTGAAGATCCTTATTCTAATAGGAGAGAACTAAAATATCCTAGAACCAGCCACTGGTTTGCCATCAGCCTTCCAGCAAGAAACTTTCCATAAAATCCAGATGGTCTTCCTAGACACACCTCCTGGATTAAGAATTCAGAGAAAAATTGTAATTATGTGGTACAGTTGGCTAATATCAGGCACATGGATATTTTCTGCCTCTTCACAGGTGCACATTCACTCTCTGTAAATTTAATTTTATGCTTCTATGTTTTTTCTGCTGCTTGCAGTCTGAGAGAATTCCTCAGACAGTATCAGTGGATGCTGGGAAAACTCTTAATTCTTGGCAGATATTACTAGTTTTTTATAAATAACAGCCAATCATTTAGGTGCTAAATGAGAAACAGTGAAGCAATGGGACCAAAACCATATTTGGCGTTAACAGATCTGATACACAACATAAATTATGGTGTTAGAAATTTTTCAAAAATACAGGGGGCAACAAACAGGTGTCAATGATCTGTATCTTAGTTTCTTTTCTTAAAAAAAAAAAAAAACAAAAAACCACACACACACACAAAAAAAGACCCCACAAACAATAACAACAACAAAACCCACAAGAAGACCTAAGAGAAGGAACAGGATTTCCACTCTAGTGCAAACCAGGTTTAAATGGTTCTTATTTTAGTTGTAAATTAATTTTAATAGAAAAATTTAAAACTACAAATGCAAAGGTATATTTAGAACAATTTACTACTGTTATTGGGGATTGACATTAAAAACACACCAGCACTCATTAAATTATAAGTACGTTATACCTTAGCTATTCTGGATTTTGCTTCAGCTGCAAAACCTTGCTGTATTAAAATTATTCTGGGAAAGAGTCACTAAGTTCAGAAATTTTTCAATTTACCCATTAACCTTCAGAGATTGTGATTTTCCCCAGACAAAACTAAATCTGAAGCTTGCATTTCAGTTCAACTTCTCCCTATTTTGGGGTTTGGTTTTCTTTACTTGGTAACAATCTCTTTATTAAATTCTGTGTGGATGAGGGCAGGAGGGGTTGGTGATCCCGCGTTTCCCGGCGCAGTCCAGCACCAGCCCCGCAGTTAAGTCAGGCCTGGGCTGCTGGGCTTGGCCTTGGCCAGGACACGGCTGAGCTGGATTTGCCATCCCACAGGTGCTCCGGAGGGCGAGGAGCTGCCCGGCCATCCCTGCAATTGCACAGGGCGAAGTTCTGAATTGCAGGCTCCAGCAGATAAAATGTTTTATTGGGTTTTTACTGTTTTTACACAGGAACGGCTTGCACAGAGAACTGTGAGCCTCAAGCCAGGCCTAACTGCAGGATCACCAAACTGCTTAAACGCTGTGTTTGGCCAGTTCATTAGAAGGAATTAATTGGTGGTTGGGACTAATTGGTGATTTCTGCACTACTACACGTGTTTGATGAGGCAACAGAGGAGATCAAGCCCACAGATTTGGAGTTGCCTCTGAACTCCAGATTGAACCCTCCATGCTTGAACCCCTCCTTGAGGTTGGCTTACAAAGCCATGA